ATCAGGGATTATGAGAAGGTACAGAAAACCTTGTGACTTCCTCCTTGTAGGGGATTTAAGGTTTACTTACACTCAATTAAGCAAGGAGTAGAATTGGCAGCTTAAAACCAGAAGAGGGCACCTGTGAGTTCAGACATGGTCTTGCTTTTGAGGGTGTGGGAACTGTGGAATCATGGGGTTGAAGAGGTCTTTTACAGCCTAGTATATCATAGGCTTTCACTGAAAACCACTATTAGCTGAAAACCATTGAATTAATCATACCTAAACCAGTGTACTATTCAAAAGTCTATTATATAGCATTGTTTTTAATGAAAATTATAACTAATTATCATAAGATAATATACAAGAGCTGAAAGGGACTTTAAAGATGATCTGATTTCCATTGACTCATACAGGTGCATCCTATTTTTAAAAAATATAATTGATTGTACAGTGACTATTTCACATAAGAATTATTTACTTTGCCGAAGAATTCATCAGATTACTTTAAATAATGCATTCCTCTAGCCTATTAAAAATATGGTCCAATTAACCAGCCCTAAATTTTCACACAGCTTTTCAAGAGCATACATACTACCCCAAATAGGGCAAACCCATATTCTATTTTAATAAGAGGGTGATAGATTGCAAAGTTAGTGATTACAGTCCTCCAGCCAGGTGGTGGGAAGCTGAATAATAGGGAGGAAGATACTGGTATTATAACTGCTCTGCTTTAGAGGTTGGTCTAAAGGAAATCTGGGGTTAGTTTTCTATACTTTTCTAGCAAGTATAAATGCTAGGTGTATTTGTACACATTTTAAATTCTGTGTGTTGTGGCTTTCCTCAAGGCATCCTCGAATGTAAATGAGGTGGTATTCATTGTCTGTTATCGAAGGTCAGTGTTTCAAGACATCAAACAAACTGAAGACTCATTCTTAATATCTTTAACTTAAGGAATCATGGAACTTTTGTTCTTAATTAAAAAGAAAATTAAGAAGGCAGAGGAAACATCACTTGCTTATGGATCTTCAAAGGTAAAAATGAAAAAAAATCTGATAAAGCTTTTGTAGCCCTGAAAAATTTCTTCAGGTGGCTCATTGCCTGAATTGTCTCTTTTTTCATCTTCTCTTCAGCATATTGAATTGAAAGACAAATCTGCTTTTGACTCTACAGGATCAATTCCATGCCCAGTTGAGAACATAGCTGGTGACTCTGGGATTCAATGCTCTTTTACCTGTGTGGATCATGTATTTAATGGATTCAAGATCTGCAAAGCAGATTAGATGGAAGAAGTCTGCACACCAGCTGATGAGCTGTGTGGGTGTGCACATATTATGCTATGAGAAAAGTTACTCTGCATGCAATGAGTCAAATTATCCCAATTCCTCTGCAGAAGAGAATATTTTTGCACAGCTTGAATACCAATTAACTGCAATTTTAGGCTTTTTCTTATTTTATTTCACCTCCTTCCATGAAATAGGTGTATATTTTGGCAGAAATGGGATGAATACTGGACACTGGGTTCCAAAGATGGATTTCAACAGGTGTGGGGACAAAAACAAGAGATTTATGTTTGGGAACCGTTCATCCTTAGATGTGTGATATCTCTGCCATCTACTTCTACAAATTTCTCCTGTGGCTGAAGGTGCCTGGTCTCTGGAACATATTTCAGGGTGCAGTCTCATAAAGCCAGCAACTTAAGACACCAAAATAATGTCATTTAGTGTCTAGGGGGAGGTTAAAAAGAGGATTAGAGGCAGTCAGGCAGGATATATTAAACGAATCCATGACTAACAGGGTGTGACAGTAAAGGGTTTCATTCTTTTCAACAGAACAGTTCCCTAGGGCTGGAACTATTACCCCACTATGCCTTTATCACCTTGGAATTTTTATGGTTATTTTTGATGAATTCACATTTTTGTAAAGGCTTTTTTGACATGATGCCAATTTTCTATTTTAATTAAAGTCGTAAATAATCTTAATTCTGCCTTAAAAGGTTTATTGTTTCTTGCATTTTTTTTTATTATTACTGCCAGGAAATATTTCAAATACCAAAGCATGATGTGAGTTAGCAATTAGAATTTCTCGAAGGTCCAGTAACTCCATTGTACCTTATAAACATTACATGTTAGAATGTCGATGCGAGGTTTGAAAATTCAAATTGACTGATGTCAAATATATTAGCCTTGTTCCCCCTGGGGTTAATGTTTATTTTTGTTTTTAAGTCCTTGGTAGATGAACAGGTTAAAAATATGAAAGTAAGCACTGGCCTGGAAATATTAACAAGCCAAGTCCAGCTCAGCTATTTGCTAGAAATGAACAAAACAGTAGCAATGACCCACAAAAGGCTACCTCATTTTGTATATGACAATATGAAGAGCACACCATGATTTTGTATCCTTTTATGCTAATGGTCCTAGAAAGTTTGTTTCCGTGTTCTCTAAATTGCCTTTTGAAGGTTGCGTAAGACTTGACCCTCAAACTCTATTTTGTGGCCTGAAAGGCTGTTATTTTTAAATTGTGTTGCGAGCATCTTCCACACAACAAAATCTGCTGATTCCTTACACAGAAGTTGGGATGAGGACAAAAGAAAACCAAAAATACTTCCTGAAGATACCCTTTTTTCCCATTTGATAGTCTTCTGTCTCCTTATGCTGCCTCTTTTAAATTGAATAAGAGATGAGAAGTGAGGAATTTGTGATGTGTTAAAAAGGGCACTGGATTAAATATGAGTGGAACTGGGTTCTGGTTTTGGCTCGGCCACCAACCAAATGGATGACCTTAAAGGAGTTCCCTGGCCTCTCTGGGCTTTACTTTCCTCAGTGGTAAAATAAGGACACTGAACTAGAATCCGGAGTTCTTAACCTTGGGTTCGAGTATTTTTTAAAAAATATTTTGGTAGCTGTATTTTGATATGATTGTAATTATTGTGAGCTGTAATTCAATGGAATTCCTTTGTAATCCTATTTATTGTATGCATTTAAAACATTATTCTGAGAAGGGGTCTACCATAAACTTTGCCAGTGAGGTGCATGATACAAAATAGGTTGAGTCCCTGGACTTGATTGTCTATGAGGTTCCTTCCAGCTGTCAAATTCTTTGAACCCACAATGCTTTCTAGGTCTGAAAGAAATAGCACTGTATATTTTAATTGACAAGTATAAGATGTTTGCTATATATAAGTCACTGGGCTAGGTGTATAAAAATGGAATTGAGGCAGTCCCTGTCTCATATATTCTGCTATGTAGGAATCATATATTGTGTTCTACATCAAAAGTTACTCAAAGTATTTGTATCCCCAATGCTCAACATGTAGTAAGCACTTAATAAATGCCTTTTTTCTGCCGTTCACTCTGTTCTTTCATTCAATGGAAAAAAGAAAATGGGCTGAGCTAGTACCTACAATGTCATTTGTGTTATGGACTTGATGTTATAGTAAAATTCCACTAACTAACAATGAAGGAAGGCCAGCATGAATCAGTGAAGCATCCAATTCTGGAATATTTGTAATGGAAGGCAGTTTTTAATTCATGGTTAAATGTGAATCACCACCATGGGGCTACCCAAATAGTAGTTCTGCTAGATCCCCTTTAATTCTCTGCAATTATTTATGCTGCGGATTGTGCTTCTAAGTGGATTAAATCCTTTTCTTTTACTCTTGTCTGCATTAGTAATTTACTTGAGCCAATCATTTCCCTCACTGATAATGCAAAAGGCACATAATCTTTATCTTTCCAAGGAAAATACAAAATTTTAGTCCAACCTGTGCCTAAATATCGCAAATACTAACCAGATGGGGTCTGGGCTAGGTAGGTCTGACAGTATTTCAAGAAGAGAGGTTTAAATGATTCCCGTACCTCATTTCCCAGGGTGGGTGCCCATGTGACTGAGAACATCTATCAAATTCTTCAGCACCTAGGCACCACTCTACTTCATTCAGAAGAGGTCATAGCTTTGAGCACTCAGCCTAACCTTGTGCTAGCAACTCTTTGGGAAGGGAAAATGAACAATACAAAGGATTGTAGAGCATTTTACCAACATAAAAGCACTAAATCTATTTCAAAGTGTAAAAGAACTCATCACTTCTGACTAGAAAGGGGGCTGACCTGAAACCGTCTTTTGATTCTCTGGCCACATAGTTCAATCTCTTGAAACGAGTTGAGTCTCTGACTGCCTTCTGGGTTGTTTGGAATGGACTCAAATGATACTCAGAAGAGACTGGCAATCACTGAGGTTACAAGTCATATATAGAACTCATCGCTAGTCAAACACTCCAGGAGCCAACATTAGCCCCAGTGGGCCAACACAGTTTACTGCTGTGGTAGGACATTTGAACCTTAAGGGTCTGACTATTTTTCTTTTTTTGCTGTCACATACATCAGATGTACTACATGCCCACAAATATAAAGCAGTCTTTACAGCTGGCTGCCATGACCAAAGAATTTCTTTTAAGTTTCCTCTTGATGAGAAAATACTAAGGGATGGGGGTGGGAGATGGAAATAATTTGCACAGATAGAAATGACCAGGCAGGTCTGTTCTTTTGGCCTAAAGTGAGATGGGGATTTGGGGTAAGAGGGAGGGATTGTAGTATGTTTACTAAGTTTGTCACTTTCAAGGCTTTTGCTTCCTATATTATCAGGAATGGAACCATTTTAACTAATATTTTATGAGAACATGTCTAACAGGGATTCATCTTCCTCTAATTTATATCTTTTACTAAATATTCAGCTCTTTTTTTTGGCACAGGGTGACTTTTCAATTTAGGTTACTTCTCTATCATTATTTTCTCTGATTTTTATTACAAATGAATCAATTCCCCAGATTCCTATCTGTATATATTAGCTACACAAACAGTAGGCTTAACATTTCTTCATGGAAGACTTCTCTCATTAAACAATCTAAACCACGTTACACCTTGAGCAATCTAAGCATGGCCAGCGTTAGCCCTGTGCGCAGTGCTAACACTATAACAGTATCTGAGAATGTATATTCCTGACTGGGCAGCACTCTGAAAAATTACCTTTTTTCTTGCCTGTTGGTCTTTGGAAGAATGTGCCTTGACGTGCTTTCTTAGGGAACTTGGATCTGTGTAGCGTTTGGTACATCCTGGAATTTGACATGCATAAGGTTTCTAAATAAAAAAGAAACAAAGAAACAGCTGTGGTTAAATCATGAGGCAAACGAGGGAAAAATCCATGCTAAGCCTCCTGATTTCCAAAACATGCATTGTCACTGACTCTGATCTCAAATACTGAATAATAAACACAAAATCCATGTAGAAAAACCTGGTAATTTTATATCAGGTCAAAAAAAGAAAGCAGGCTTTGTGGGGGAAAAGCAAAACCCGAAACAAAGAGATGGAGAATCTTTGATCACTGTTAAGAATCTACTTTACAATTCAGCAGCCTACATAGCATGAAACCCTGTGACATTTTTTTAATATTGGAATTATTAGGGAGTGTGTCGAGTTGTACTTACAATTGTGCTGCCCTGAGAGTAATCTTTGGCATAGTCAGAAACTAGCAAACACATATTCTTTAGTGAGTCAGGTAAAGAAGTTGTAGTATAGTCCAGAAAAGACTGGGAAGTGTTACAGAAGAGACCTGATTCAGAGAGAGAGAATCGAGAGGAAAAAGTTAGTGTAGTATGAGTAGGGAAAAAAAATGTATGTTGCAAAAAACAAGCATAAGAGGTATCAGATGAGAAACAGGACCCAATTAAGCAGGTTGTGTTACAGGTTTTTCAGATGATTAGTTTTGCAGAAGAATTTTGCTTTTTTTTTACAAGGGTAATATCTAGAAGTACTTGGTTGACTCAGATGTGACCCAAAGTCTTGATGATTCCTGTTCACCACAGACCACCTACACAGTTGTGTGAGTTGTAAGGGGTCAGAAAACTGGTCTTGTTGTTTGTAAGGGCATCTTAACAAGTTGTTAAGATTACTCAGAATCATAGAATTATTGTATTTCAGAACTAGAAAAGACCTTAGAAGCATCTACTTCAGAGGCTAGATGCTCTTTTGCTAATGTCCTATTTAATTATGTTTACGTAGAGTCAGCTTTTGGTAAAGTGTAAATTTTTTTGCTTTTCTGGGATATGACATCTAGAGTGTACTATAAATTTGATGCAAAATGTGTCCCTGTCAATATACATATCAACTGTATTGAAAGGTTATAGTAAATGTTTGAGACAATGGGCCTTCAGTAGTCAAAAAAATTTTTTGCTAGTCCCCAGTGCTGGAAATTAGAAAATAAATGCATTTATATTTCATGGAAATGGTCAATAATTAACTAAATAGTTGATAGAATTGACAGATGATCCATTACGTTCATGTCTGCAAGATGCCCAGCGTATAAATACAAATTAAAAACAAGTCAAAAATCCTACTTTTTCAAATATCTAGACTCCACTGTTGTTGTGTAAAGACAACATCTGTACTTTATTTTACTGGGTTTTTCCGTTTTTAATCTGCATGTTTGGTATTGTATAGACCAAGCTACATGGGGATAACATTATACTACTCCTGAAAGCCTATATATGATTTTCTTCCTGTCTAGTGGGTTACATGTGATTCAGAGAATGGGTAGAATCTCACAGTGGATCCTGAAGCCATATCATTGTTTATCCTAATTAGCCTAGTTAAGTTATTTAACATAGTACTTTACATATATTATCTTATTTGTTACCTTGGACAAGTCACTTAACTTCTTTGGCCATTAGTTTCTTCATCTGTGAAATAATGGAGTGATCTCCAACTTTCATTCCAGCTCTATAGTTCTAGGAGCCTAATTTTTGTAAGCCAGATCTAGTTCTAGGAATTCCCACGGCTGTTTTAGAATGTGCCTATTGTTTTAATTTGGCAATCATTCTGACCTTGAGGATGACTTCTATATTTATGCAATCAATCATCTCTTTACTACCTATGTTGATAGAGAGGAGAGGAGATTTACACAATGCACAGCAATGGATAGTCAACATATCATTTATATTTGATTTTAGAGTTTGGTCAAAGAAGCACTTGGGCCCACATATGTAAAACACGGATGCATTTTACATGCTTGTCTTTTCTTTGTTTATCCCTGCAATCTCTTACCTGGAACCCAGTTATAGAAAGCCCCAGATCACTTGTCTAATTCTGAAAGTGGTTAATCTTTTTTTAGACAAATAAAGTTGATACTATCTTACAATCTATGTGATATATATGCCTCTGGGTTCAACATGAATGCCTGTCCTTTTCATTCAGATTTTAACTTGTAGTTTGATGACTGAAAACATATATTTTAGGATTTTTTTTTAGACTATGAAAATATTTTCCCCTAATTGGATATAAAGACATTGACAAGCAAACACAAAACAAACATTTTCAGAAATAAATAATAATTAAATGATTATTTAAATGAGCAAAACAGGTCTCACGAATGATGAGCTTGTTGATGGACTGATAAAAGGTTAATCTTTTAATGTATAAATTTATGCGGACTAATACTTTGTTAGAAATATTATAACATGATGAATATTTCCTTCTATACTTCAAGGATCTATGATTTTACCAGTGTGGGTGCTGCCTCTTTTTATGAACACAGCCCATCAGTTCCTAAGTAGATGGGTCTTCATGGGTAAGTGGTGGTGGGAAAATTCATTACCCTATGGCCAACTTGATGGTGAAATTTTCCAATTTAGCTAAGCTTGGACTTGATCAAATAATATATAGTCCATCACTGGCCCCACAAATCAATATTTTCCATCTAGGCAGCACTTATTACCACATGTGCTCACCCGGCACACCTTTGGAGGGTCCATGGTTACTTTCATTGCACGGTGAGCAAGCAGAGGAAGTTTCTAGTCCAGCAGTTCTCGAACTGGCTTTGTTTATGAATTCTTCATATTGCTGCCAGACCAATCTCCCCTGTGCAATAATCTTACCAAATCACTCTTTCTAATCAAAACTTTTTGAATGGATGTTAAATAAGGATCAATCTTTTTTAGTCTGGGGTTCTAGGCTCTTCCTAACCTGGCACTATATCACACAGCATTCACCTGACCTCTCTACATGTGAATTTTCAGCCCTGCACTGGCCTGATTCCTGTGCTTGATACTATACTCTTTCTTTTGCAGGTAACAACCTACCAACAACTCTGTCTGTTGAAATCCTTCCCAGCACAAATGTCATCTCTCCCATATAGCCTTCCCTGATCCCCGTACCCACAGCTGGCAATGATTCAATCTTCTCCATACTTCAAATAGCACTTGGATTTGGACCTTTCTTCTGCGTTTATGTGTCATTTGTGTATAATAGTTTTATTCCAAGTCATGCTCTCCTTCTACAAGTTCCATGAGGATAGGGGCCATATCACATTTGATTTTGGTATCTCTGCATAGCACCTAGCACAATTCTTTGAATGTAGTGAATGCTTAATACATTTGTATGTTTGGTTTATATATGTATATGTTTCCATATATGTGCATTCATATATGTATGTATGTATAAGTATTTTAGCAGCATGTTGTCAGAACATGTTGCATAATGAATAATAGCACTAACTTGTATTTATATGGCACTTTATGCTTTACTAAGTGCTTTACGCACAGTATCTCATTTTAACTTCCCAATATCCCTGTAAGTAGGTGCTGTTATTGTCATCTCACAGATAAAGGTAACTGAGGCAGACAGAGCTTAACTGACTTGCTACCTGTTACACAGCTACTAAGTGTCTGAGACCAAATTTGAACTTAAGTCTTCTTGACTCCAAGTCTAGAACTCTATCCACTGTTCTACCTGGCTGTATCTAAAAGCTTTCTAGATAGAAATATCCCCCCTCAAAGGCATATAATGTTTGTATACTAGAATACTTTTGATATCACTAGTGACAAATAAGAACAGATACAAATGTAATAAATATGTCAACGATGATATCAGAATAATTGTAAATATGTATGAGAAGGTGTGTAGAAATAACAGTATCTTTTTAAAACTCAAGCTCTGCTATAGTTTAATAATAGACACCAGAATATTAACACTGAAAAAGTACTGTCATGAATACATTATTTGCAAGAATGTGGGATAAGAGATACCCAGTATGTATAATACATTTATCCTGATGCTTTTGTTAAGTGGAATTACATATCATCATAACTGGCCACATATGAGGAGAATGTCAATGCATACTGGAAAAGCAAATAACAAAGGCATATCAGTGCAATTCAAAAGATAAGCAGAGATGTTTGAAAGGTATATGAAGATGAGATATAAAGAACATTCAGAACATTAAGAGAGTTAAAGACATCATAGTGAAAAGCAATTGTTTTCACAGAGTTTATTTCAAAGTTCAAGTGGCTGCAGAGATATGGGATACACAATTAAATTGTGCCCTTAGGATTAATTAGCTGAATGCTATCACTGCAAAATGAGGATAGTTGTAACTTATACCACTACCTCATGGGGTTATTACAAAAATCAAATGAGATCATGTGTGTAAAGCATTTTGTGAACCTTAAAATGCTCTACAAATAGCAACTATTATTGGGGCTAAACCATGGACCTGAGATTTTGCTTTTATGGGAGAACTCCTAAGTGAGGAAACTCTATATACCAATGCAGGCCAATTCCCTTCTCTCCAACTCATTGTCTTAGCTTGCCAGATCACTGAGAGATTAAGTGATTTACTTAGTGTCATATAGACAGTAGAGTCAGAATTAGGATTTGAACTCAGGTCTTCCTGGTTTAAAGCCAGTCTTCTAAGCCATTACATGACACTGCCTCTTTGTGTTTTGTTGTTGTCATTGTTTTTCCTCAGTCATTTCAGTCATGTCTGACTGTTTGTGACCCTACTTGGTACTTTCTTGGCAAAAATACTGCAATGGTTTACCACTTCCTTCTCCAGTTCATTTTACAGATAATGAAACTGAGGCAAACGAGGTGACAAGACTTGCCTCCAGGCCCAGCACTCTATCCACTGCATCACCTAGCTGTTCCCTCTTTATGCTACTATACTATTATTCTCCTACTAAAGCCAGCTTTAATGCTTCATAGTGTGGAGATGGAACATGGGGTTCTACCAGTCCATGCAGGTGGAAAGCAAACTAAAAGCTCTTACTAAGCTAGAAAGGCTCTCTCTACTGACCTAGACAGCATTTGGCCATTAAGAACTTTTATATGAGGATTGGCTGGGCTAAATTCAGATGCTCATTCCCAAACAGTTGGCTCTCAAGTGATCAGACGGTTAAATTTTGCAGCCATAACAACTCACAGAAACTATCTATGAAGGCACAAGGGGATTTTGATGTGTATCACCCACATTAATGAAATCATGAATATCTGAAGTATTAATGCAGCCAGATGACATAAGCACTAGGCCTAGACTCACAAGGACTTGAGTTCAAATCCAGCCTCAGACACTTATTTACTTGTGTAACCCTAGAAAAGTCACCTGACCTCTGATTGCTTTAGTTTGCTCATCTGTAAAATGGAGATAAGAACAGCATCTACTTCATAGAGCTGTCCAGGATCAAATGAGAGAATGTGTAAGCCTTAAGGTGCCTCAGTTTCCTCATCTGTAAAAATGAAGATAATAAGAACTCCTATTCTACCCCAACAGACTAGCTGTGAGAATGAAATGAGATATTTGCAAAGAGCTTTGCAAACCTTAAGTCACTATATAAATGCTAACTGTCATCGCTGTCCTCATCCATCATCATTATCACATTGATCCTTTGCACTCACCTATCTAAGGACAGAAACAAAGGTAATGTCTAAAGCCACTTGCGCACTCAATTCACGCCTGAGGACAATGAGAAAAGCTTCAGGGAGCCTTCATCTGGTTCTTAATTCAGAAAAATAAAATATAATAAAACCCTAAAGGAAAAGGTATAGGGATAGGGTCTTGACCTGTGATTTCATTACTATGGTGAATCCACAACTCAAGTGAAGTCAACAGGTATTTATTAATTATTAACTTACACTGTGCCAGCCACTATGCTAAGCACCAAGGATACAAAGAAAGGCAAAAACAGTTCCCACTCTCAATGACCTTACAGTCTAATGAGGGAGACAATATGCAAATAGGCATGTACGAACAAAATATATTCAGGATACATTGAAGATAATCTTGAAGAAAAGGTGCTGGCATTAAAGGAGACTGAGAAAGGCTTCTTGAAGAATGTGGGATTTTAGCTGAGGCTCAGAGGGAGCCATGAGGTCAAGACAAGGAAGAAGTGAATTCCGGGTATGGGGGACAGTTGGTGAAAATGCACAGAGTCAGGAGTCCTAGGTGAAGAAGTTCCCTCTGGCAATGCCTGTTAGTATCTTTTCTGTCACCTAGAGTCTTACAGAGTTGCCTACAAGACTGAGAGATCAAGTGACATTGCTCAGGGTCATACAATCAGAGTATTTTAGAGGTAATATCTAAGCTATTATGTTTCTCTAATTAGGGCAGTTGGTGGTGCAGTGGATAGAGTGCCAGGTCTGCAGTCAGGAAGACTCATCTCCGTGAGTTCAAATCCGGTCTTAGACACTATTTCTGTGACCCTGGACAAGCCACTTAATCTTTTTTGCCTTGGTTTCCTCATCCGTAAAGTGAGCTGTAGAAGGAAAGGGCATACCACTCTAATATCTTTGCCAAGAAAACCCCAAATGGGATCAACTGAAAAATGACTGAAAGTTTCTATAATTATCACATTCAACACACATAAAGATACATATGTATATGTGTGTGTATACCATCTTTGTACATAGATGATAATGACAATTTCTACCAGCTAGTTTGTACATTTAAATTGCTATGTGATACCCACTCAAATTCCCTTTCTGTTCCCAGAGAGCTGATTCAATATAGGCTTTCCTATCAGTTAGGTTTAAGGTTTTAGTTGAATCTGTATGAAAAAAGGGTGAGAATATATGATTGTGACACCTTCAAGCCACTTTTCTGTCGTCACTACTGCCTTGGGCAATGTCTTGGGTAATCAACATGCAGACCATAAATTGAATTCACCTCCACCTTACCCCCAATCTTTCTAGCTGCCATGTTAGGGTTTCTTAACACAAGGAATTAAATCTTAAATTGGAAAAAACTCTGTCCATTCTTACAGTGTCAAGATGGGTTCTCTGGTGCTTGGCTCGATCACTGGAGTTACTGAAGGCTTTCTGACATCCTGGATGCTGGCACAGGTATGGTTTCTCTCCTGTGTGACTCCTCAGGTGAATCTTGAGATTTTCCAGCCTTGAAAAGGCCTTCTTGCAGCCCTCAAACTGTAAAAAGAAAATATTTTTTAATTGTTGAGAGGGCCTTGAATTTTTAAGTCATGTCAGAGAAATCCTAAATTTTAATTTTTATTAACTGATCAATCAACCAACAAACTGTTATTGAGCACCCACTATGTTATGGTATTGTCTTAAGTTTGCAAGATACAAAAAAAGAAAAAAAGTACTTCCTGACCTTAAAGAGCTTTTATTCTAATGGGATAAAAATAATGTATATAAATAAGTTGGTACAAGATACATCCATAGTGGAAAGACACTAGCAGCTGGGGGCAGTTGGAAAGATTTCCCATCAAAGGTGATGTTTGAGTCAAGTCTTGGAGAGGTTATGGATTCTGAAGTCACAACAAAGAAGGAAAACATTTCAGGTATAGCCATCACAAAGACAAGGATATGGGAGATAGAATATACTAGATAAGGAGCAAGACCTTAGCCAGTATGGCTGGATCATAGAGTATGTAAAGGAGAACAAAATGTGCAATTGGAAGGGCAGAAGGAAGCCAGATTGTGAAGAGCTTTAAATGCCAGTGAACCTAACTCTTTGATTCTGGAGGGAATAAGGAACCTCTGGAGCTTATGGACTAGAGAAGGGAGGATAGGTAACATAGTCAAACTTGAACTTTAAGGAAATCGTTTCAGCAGGAGGACATCTTGAGGTGGAAAGAGGTTTAAGGAAGGGACATTGATTAGGAAGCCTTTGTAAAAGTCCAGGTGAAGTGTAATAAAGCCTTGAAATCTAAGTGCTTAACAAATGCTTATTGACTAACTGAATGAACTAAGGGGATGACTCTGTGAGTAGAGATAAGAGAAAATATTTGACTGATGTTGTGAAGATATAAACTATAAAAATTGGCAACTGGGTGGATATATGGGGTGAATGAAAGTGAGGGATTGAGGATGACTCTGTGGGAGCAGGATTTGGGGTGAAGAAGATGTCTATGAGCCAGGAACTAAAGTCAATGAGGAAGAAAGGAAAATGGCCTGGGAAATGGCAGATTAAAAAAAAAAAATCAGCCAGCAAGCAAACATTAGTTTTGAAAACATTCAGATGTTATAGGAATTGCATTTCTCCACCAACTATACATGTCACTTTATGTACCAGATTTGGGTTAGATTTTTGTGATTACTTATGTCAGAGAAAATTAGCTGTGAGCCATCTGGACAAGTTTGTAAAAATACAGTGATGCGTGTCTTAAAGATTTATTGAAAAATTAACACACTTTTCCATTCCCAAATTGGTCTAAATTAGAAGAACCAGGAGGGAAGAAACTTTGTGGTAAGTGGTAAACTAACAAAAGTCATAGTAACAAATTAGCATAATGCAGAATTCAGAAGCCTGAGGAGCCATCATTAAAGGCAGTGTGTATGCCTACTGATGCTTCATAACCATAGCATTTCTCTGTGTCTTTAAAAATATCTCTAATTTGAAAGTGATATATGACCATGTTACAAGAGGTTGAAAAAAGATATCTGAGAGTAAGCCACACCTAATAAGATGACCTGGGCAATAGAAAACTACTTTATGGCTAAGACTTTTTCAAAATAGGTAATCCATTTGTTTGAAGGCTGTGCTGTCAAATTGATAAAAACAATATTACAGAAGAGCAGGGGTCAAAATGAAACCTTGAAAGTGCCAGAAAACTTCCTCAGTGCTGTATCAATAGCAGAGTAACACAAATATTTACTGGACTTAATTTCTTTAAAAAATTCAAGCTATTCTAGCAATTTTAATCCATGGGATCATAAGACTTGGAGCTAAAAGGAGCTTTAGAAATTATTTATTACTATTCCCTCATTAGACAGATGAAGAGACAGAGGCCTAGGATGATGAAGTCACTTACCCAAGATCGCACATGCAATAAGCTGCAGAGTTGGGGTTCTAAGGACTTTTCTATCCAATACACCACACAGTTCAATATAACAAATATTTATCCTGCATCTATAAAGCACAGGAAAAATATAACATAAACCCTATTCTCAAGGTGGCCTAATGAATAGAGTGCTCAGCCTGGAGTCGTGAAGACCTGAGTTCAAAGCTGCCCTCAGACACTTACTAGCTGTGTGACCCTGGTCAAGTCCCTTAATCTTTGTCTCAGTTTCCTCAACTGAAAAATGAGGATAATAACAGCATCTACCTCACAGGGTTGTTATACGGATCAAATGAGATAATATTTATAAAGCTCTCAGCGCAGTGCCTGGAACAGAATAAGCAATATATAAAATGCTTTTTGCCCTCATACCCCGAACCTCCTCTCCCCAATCTAAAGGGAAGGACAAATACATGATTAACTATGCCACAAAGAAAAGTGAGATAAGTATAAATTACTTTAAGCAATTCTAGGGAGAGATTATCTTGTAAAAGGGGAACACTTTATGGAAGTGGGCCTTGAAAGAAGTGAGGAACTTCAAGAAGGGAAGAGGGGGGCAGGAATAGGGTGGTTTATTCTAGGGGTTGGGGAACAGCATAAACAAAACCACAGGGATGGCGGAAGTCATGAGGAAATGGGGGACAAAGAATATAGAGAGTATATGGAGAGAAAAGGCAAATAAGCCTGGAAAGGCAAGTACAGCCAGATTCTAGAGCACCTTGAGTTCAGAATCACAAGTTTAAATTTAATTACAGTGGTACCTGGGAACTATTGAAGTCATGTGCACAATCCTATTGATGCATTGGGAAAATTACTTGGTGAATAGTATGAAAAATGTTTTAGAGATAGGATAGAATGCCTGCAGTCAGATCTTAAACATTTACAACACATTTGAGTATACAGTTTTCACACTCAAGGACCATCTACAAATATAAGATGACCTATAAAATTGAAATAGCTCTTGAAATTTAATGACTTCAAAGATTCAAAGCCACGGAGAAGATTCAAGTCTTGAGATCCAAAATGATTCCCCCTCAAGGTTATCAGGCAGAGCATAATGTCATTTATAGTTTATCTTCCCTTATTGCAATGGCTGGAAGAGAATACATTCCTGAATGAGGCTATTTTCAAACAATCAAGACTTCTTAATTAGGATCTTGATCTCTAAAGAAAAGGCAGCCCACCTAGGCAGGGTGATCCAATCAGCCAACCCACCATCTATTTAAATGCCTGGATTCCACATGCTGAAATATTTAAAGGAATTTATGGAAGTTGTATTTATTTTTGATTGGGAGTTATACTTGTTTCATAGACATATGTTGGTTTATTTCGATTTTGATATTTTGCTTAAAATAATTTTGGTGTTTTCCTGATTTCTACTTCACATAAGAAAGAACAAATTTAGCCTGAACGGAAGATGATTGCTGATTAAGCCAAGGACTTTAACAACACAGTGAAAGAAATACAAGGCTGTGTGGCTTTTGGCAGCAGGACCTAAGGGAAGAAAAATAAAAGGGGCAATTCCCCCAGGTTTTTTCTACTGTAGATAAAAGGACTAGGAGTTATTCCCTAATCGTTAGGTAAGAGCCTCTATTTATAAGGTTCTCACTGAATGACAACTCAGAGCAAACTCCTGGAGCTGAGTTTATTTAACTTGGAATCAGCTAATGAACCACACTTAAGGATGTACTGAGCCTGTGGTTTCAGGGCATGCCAAACCTGTAGCCTGGTTCCGAGCATGGCTTCTTCTTGGCTTTGGTTCAGTTATGGGGCCCACCTGAGGGGTGAACAGGGCAGGCCCTAATGCCCTCTGCATTCCACATCTTTCCAAAATCTAAGGCAGAGAGAATATTGGGGTGATGAAGAAGGACTACCATGGCACTTTGAGATGACCACAGAAATCGAAGTTAGTATCTCTGTATGATCTGGGATAACTGAGGCCATCGGTATCTGCTGTGGCGATTCTGAACTTCCATTCAAGACTTGGAGCTTATGTGATCTCCCAGGAACCTGTTAGACTGGTCATAACCAATAGATGGGCCAATGCTTCCATGGCCCCTCTACACCTCAATTCAATTGCTATGAAACATATAAATAATTACCTGCTAGAATTGCTGGGTTGCAATCCCTCCCAGAATGTGTTACAGAATTCTATGCATTTGTGAATCTTAGGTTTTGTTGGTGATGGCAAATTCAAAACCAGTAAGAGCAATAGCTCACTCTTACATAGCATTTAATAGTCCACACAAAGCACTTTCTCTATAACCACCCTTTGAGAGATTATCCAAGGTTTATCTTTCCCAGTTTATAACCAAAGAACTGGGTTTAATGAAGTTAAATGACTTGTCCAAGGCCAAATTGCTAGAAGATTCTGTAATATACCCAAATGTTAATGACCTACCTAAGGAGTCTTGCTTATTCCCTTACCCATTGTTGCAATTTCAGTGAAACTGTAATATTGACACAAACAAAATGAGACAGAGACAAATTACAGGGAACTATGGAAAACAAACAGCCCCCTTAATACACCCAATCAAAATCAGAAGAAGTGGAAGTTAAAAAAAAATTCATGATTCCTACAGTTGTTAGTGCCTCTCCTGTCCAAATTAATTTAATTAACTTGTATCTGTATTTTTATTTTATATCTATTTTGTATGTCCTTATTTATGTATATGTGTTTCCTAAAAGAACATAAGCTTCTTGAAGGCCAGATTTTTTTTGTCTTGGTTCCCCAGTTCTCTAGCACAGTGTCTGGAACATAGTAGGTGTTTAATAAATACTTGTTAATTGATTGATTGGTTGATTGACACGGTAAGAACAGAGAGAGTACATAACGCAATTCATTAAAGTGCTATGTGTATCAGGTGGATATAGAGAAGAATAAAACATAAAAGGTTCATCCTGGAAGGCCCATTAGAGATCAACTAGATCAGCCCCTACTCTTTTATAGGCAAGGACCCTGAGGCCCAGACAAGTCAAATGACTTATCCAAAATCATACAGCAAACTCAGAAGCAAGACTAGAATACGAGTCTCTTTTTCCTTAAGCCAGTGTTTCCTTCTATTGTGTCATGTTGTGTCATTGCATCCTCCTTATTCTTAGAAGTATCTAGTAGACTACTTG